TTGCTGATAACCTAACCGGGGCCACTAGACTGGTGGATACCTGGATTTTAACACAAAATTAAGCAGCAGATGGCTAATGTGACCGAGGCTTTGTATGTATTAATTAGGACATTGTTATCCAAGGTATGGATCTGCCAGAAAAAAAATTTATCCTAGACACAGTTTGCTTGGGTTAGAGGTGCTCCTGAGGCCCTTTCTCAATGACAACCCCTTTAATTTGTTTACACCAAAAGAAGTCTCACACATCAATAAAGCAAACTTGTGCTTTATTGATTCCATGCATCAGGAAGTAATCAGCTTTGGGTGTGACTTAAAAATTTGAAACAAAATGTGAAAATTCACTATTACTTCATGACTGAACAAAATGGTAAGAGGTTGTTCAGAAAGGGCCAAGTGGGTTTAGTATAACTTCTTTACCCTTCTAACACCTTTGAAACCCTCAGAAGAAGTTGAGAAGTGTCTCTCTGTAAAGTAAAAGTAAAATGTCTGAGTTGTCCTCATACTTCTCTTCGCCAATTTATCTTAAAAAGACAATAGATCACTGGATGTAAAAACAGCCTGTGTTGTAATGTAAGTAATCGTGATTCTTTAAAGTAAAAAAATAAGACCAATTAGTCTGGAAGTGTTCTTAAAAGCAAGTTTCCTAGCTCATACCTTTTATTTTCATGGTGTAGTTTCACCAGGCTCCTATTTGTTCCAGTCAGCAGCTAATTTAACTGCTTGAACACCTCAAGACCTCTGACAAAATGCAATTTGATGCTTTAGAATTACATAAATGGAGGAAGCAAACAGGACTCCTCCAGTGTTTTAATGGACCCGGCTGGAAAGTGAGAACATGAGTGGAGTGCCTTCCTGATGTTAACTCTGAGAGCAGGAGACAGCAGTAAAACACGTGTTCCCCAAGGCTCATACATCACTTATCAGATCCCCAAGTAGTAAAAAAAAAAAAAACACTACAGACAATTCACCCTGTTTAAGCTGCTGGAAATCTTTCTGTTGGACGTTTTCAGGGCTGATGTATCAGACCACTAAGTCTGGTCCAGTGCATGCTAGCTCTTCATATCCATAGCAAACTTTATACTGAATTATCTTTGCTGTTTAGGGGAACAAAATCCTTATTTGAACACTTTGAGCCAATTTTCTTACATATTATTTTTATTATTGTTATTTACAGAATTATTATAATTTCCACCAATTTAATTAATTCAGAACTTCATATTTTTTAACACTCATTTAAACTGCTTGTATCTCATGCAATTCTCTCACCTGAATAGGGCAGAGAACTGCTAAAGAGTGAGCTTGTAATCTTTGCAGATCACTTGCAAAGCGCCCAATCATAGCATATGCATTTTTTTTCTCCCACAAAAGCAATTTAGCATTCTTCTTTGAAATTTAAAGACCAGTTTGTTTGACAGATAAACGTTTATGCAGAATAGGTTATTCTGAAATTACATGCTGCCTAATACTTTAAAAACAACAAAGACCTTTTTAAGCTACTTTACCCATATTGAAACAAATACATATAGAGCTCAATCATGACTCTTTTATTGCATCACTCCACCATTCCTCTAAGTCACAAAAATGAATGACTGGTTCCAGCAGTTGAAGAGTGAAGGTAGATGCATGGACGGCTGCCTCTGAGAAGCAGGTGAAGCTGGGAGTTCCAGCTGTCTGAGGAGACTCAGAAGGAAGTGGAGCATGTAGGCCAGTGACTTTTCTCGTTGCTTAATAAGAGCTGACATTGCACAGCATAACTCACTTCTGCAGTATCTGCTGCTGCTGGAACACATTGTTTTTTATGAGGGAGGTACAGCAAGAGTTGGATGCTATGGCACCAGCATTATGAATCAGCAATACCAGTGACACACACAACACAGTTTTATTACTAAATACTCTGATGAATAAACATTTAAACCCTCTATGTGGCAAAGGGCAGATGTTTGCTTCAGAGATCAGATTAGGAGTGAAAATAAGTGTGTGATGTTTTTCCTTTGGCAGAGAACTAATCAGGGGTTGCCAAAATACAAAGAAGAATAAAAAATCCGTCGTCGTTTTGAACAAAGACGTTTTTTAGCTTTATTCAGCTGTAAAATATACTTTAACCCATTTAGGCCTAAAACGCCTGGAAAAAACACCTTAAAAACCTATGGCCGATTTTAAAAAATACCCCTAAAACCTGAAGTTTTTCTGTAAATTCAGCAACTGTGTCAACGCCTAGTAAATTATTGATATCTCAGCTTCTGTAGCAGATAGAACTCAAAATATATTTTATCTTTGAAATTCTTCCAAAAAAAAGTGAAAAGCAGTAATAAAAAAATAAAAAATTCAACCTTTATTTTTTCCATATGTGATCATGTCTTCATTGAGAATGTGCAATATAAAACGTTTTTAAAATAAAGAACAAACATTACATAAATAACTATCTGATGATTACTTATTAACAGTATTATTATGCATAATAATGCATATGTCTGTGTTATAAATTGCATACAACTTACCTCCAGATGGCCACAAATCTGTCCCGGGACATATTTTGGGGGAACTGCGTCCTGAAGAGAGGTTTACTCTGTCGCCAATAATCTCTTCGTACTGGCAACACAAGAAGTCCTATGCCCATACACAGCCCAATAAATGTCTTCATCTCCGTCACAGTCACGGGTGACCACTTTGCCATCTTTGCTCTTGTTGGAGTTTGGTTTGTTTGGTCACTGTACCTATTCGTCTCGGTAACAAGATGCATCCAAAGTTCTTCATTAAAAATATGCTCAAATGCCTGCAGCGGTGTGGTGTCTGCAGGCAAATCAACTTTCACTCCAGGTGTGCGGTTTAAACACTCCGTGCATTGCGGTGGTAGTTCGATTGGTTCAGCGCGTTCAATGTCATCATTTTCATCTATACCGTCATCAAAGCCGACACACTCCTCAAAATCACTGCCTTCCGACATCTCTTCTCTGTCAAACTCCTCCATGTTTGCTTGAAAAAAACTTCTTTCTTCTTGCTTGACTTATATGCTCTCCCGGCGTCAATGGTAGAATTACGCAACAGCGCCCCCGGCTTGAATGGTAGAAATGCGGTAATGCTTTCCCGGCCTAAATGGGTTAAAACAGAGACTGAAACAAACAGAGATGAGGCATATATACTGTAGTTTTTTTTAACAAGCTGAAAGTTTAGTTTAACAGGTGGTGCAGGTGGTGTTCAATGACTATTTTTCTATGATTTGAACAGTGTTGGGAACCTGACTTAAAAATTACCTATTTATAGTAACTTCTCAAAACTAAATGTGCCGTAACTGTCGTGGTTCTTGGCACTTATCCCCTTCGAGATGTTTCCATTGCTGACTGGTAAATCCCTCCCGACCTGCAGCAGTTTCACATTGTGATAAACTGTTTAAATGTCCCTTGTTGCATCTGGTTGAATTCGGGGTTTTCTGTTTTCTCGTCATTACAGTAACTGAGTTACTAACTCGGTTACTGCACAATCAAAGTATGCAGTTTTTTTTACAATCTAAATGTTCTCATACTTTAAATGAATTATCAAATATCAAACGTTTGATATTAAGTAATGAATTAAATAATAAATTAAAAGGATTATAGTTCTGAAAACAAATGTACACTAATCAGCACCATTTTGCTGAGTATGATGGAAAAAGTGGCATATAATTTTATAGCGGTGTTAACATTTGCTTGTTTGTAATAAAAGGACAACAAAGTAAATTAGATGTTTCAGAACTTTATATTTTTGCATGTTGAGAGGCTTCAGAAGACTTTAAAATAGCTGAGAAATAATGCTTTTTGAGCAATTTAACGACACAAAATACACTTCCAAATAGAATTAAAAAGAGGTTAAACTCTTCAAAAAAGTGAATAACAGAAAGTAAAGAGCATGTGGGCAGCCAGCTGTGTTGAGATAATGTGAGAGGTTTCCTTGGAATAGAGCTGCTTCTAACCAATGTAAATAAAGTCATCTGAGTCACAAACATTTAGCCTTTGACCTCAGCGAGTGCTTTTCTGTAGGGACGCTGCAATTGCATCCGTGGCTGTGGGCCATAGTTTCTCCAATCAGTCTGTGTTCAAAACATGCTGAACAGCCGCCCACCTTGCTGCCCCTCAGCTAGTCAGCGTCTGGTATGTGCATCTCAGCTCCGCGCTTGTCACTGCAGTAAAAACCTTTCGCTATTGCAGTGAGAATGCGCATACAAAAAGTTGCTTTAATTGATCCAGCTAAAATAAATAGGAAATAACTCAAGAGAGCTATAAATAAGGGAAAAGTGGTGTTAGATCTCATTATCAATGAAAAACTTGGGCAGTTACGCCATTATTATGTAACAGTGTTACTTCTAACAATGCTTTTGACCCTTTTTAACTACACATTTTTCACATCTCATTACAGAACAAATAGTATGGAAAGACAAAGGGAAATTTGGATAGAAGTACAATAAGCAGTTGAGTCCCTTTTATTACAATGCATAAAAACATTTTTTTTTTGAAGATTTGCAGATTACTTTTTTGAATTTGTGGGTTACTTATTAAAAACATATTTGATCATCATCTAATATGATCAAATATCATCTGCAGTTAAAATAAACTTTTACAACTTGGACATTTCGGTGATGTCATTGATATACAAAAGAAAAAATAAAGGTCCAAGGAGAAAACCTTGTGGTACTCTACTTACTTCTACAAATAGTTTTCTGTCCTTCAGGTAACGTCTCACCGCTTCTCTGTTTCCATATTTCTAAAACTTGCCCGATATTATTTTATGATCTAATGTATCAAAAGCTTTTCAGATCAACAAACATACTAAATATGTTATTTTTTTATCTAATGCTGTCTGACAGAGGTTGATCACAAAACTAGTCAATCCCAAGGAGGTAGTTGCATCTATAAAGCATTCTGGACATTTTGGTTTTCAAGAGCACACTAAATGAAACACAAAAAATCCTCTTAGGTATCAAGAAGTTAATAAAGAACTTACATAGTTCTGTTTCTGTTCCTCATCAGGATTACACCATCACCATGTATTTCCAGCAGTCCTGGAGAGATAAGCGCCTCTCCTACACTGGCATTCCCCTAAATCTGACCCTTGATAACCGTGTGGCAGACCAGCTCTGGGTTCCTGACACCTACTTCATTAACGACAAGAAATCTTTTGTTCATGGGGTGACGGTCAAGAACAGGATGATCAGACTACACCCTGATGGAACAGTGCTCTACGGCCTCAGGTAATGTCTAATTCTTTCTTTTCACTGTAAAACTTATGGAGGTTATTGAATTGTAGCCTTATTCTTTGCACATTTGCTTTTTGCTTCTCTATAATCCATTATGCTGCATTTAAAACTGATGTCTTTGGCTGTAATAAACCTGCATCTCTTTGCCATTTTCTTAGAGAAAGCAAATTGTAGCCTCATAACTCAAAACATTAAGCAGCAGCCAGACACATTTCCAACTTTTTACACAGCAACCATTTACAGTATCTATGCAGCTAAGAGAAAATATATGATATTGTGCAACTCAGCACTTGAAAAACAGTTTTGTAAGGTTGTTATAAATATTAATATCATTGAACAAAAGAGAATTTATTTGTTCTAGTGTAAATTAATTTAAACAATTCACTTCAGATTGTTATGTTGTATGAAATAGAAAACATTAAATGCTGCATTCCATCAAAGAAAATTGTTGATTGATGGGTTTAAGCACTAGGCTTCTCACTAGAGACCGGAAACACAGAGTGGTGAAAAAAATCTTGTCCATAGCGTGGAAGTGTTTTGACGGCATTGACAGATTATGTCATCTATGGTTGGGAAAGAGTTGATTATAATTGAAAATGATCAGTATTCTTGTTTTGAAGGCTGGAATATTATCCTTTATTTTTGTGTCTTGTTTGGTGCTAGATCGTCAGTGTTGTATCTGACAAAAGGCCAAATACAGCAAGTGGAATAACCATTTTCTCAGTAAATCTATTTCTAGAGGTTTTATTGACATGACATTTTCACTAGATGCCAGTAACAATCCATGCAATCCGCACATTCAAAGAAATCAAAGCATAGATGTTCAACAATTAAGTTGTTTGTAATAAAGTGAAATGACAGGGAAAAAGTATTGAACACACTTACTGAAATGAATTTAGTACTTTGGCATTGATAGCTACTAGATTCCTCCTGTATGGAGAAATTAATCACATGCATTGCTCAGGTGTGATTTTGGCCCATTCTTCCACACAATCAGTGTTCAAATCTTGAAGGTTTCGTGGACTTCTTCTATGAACTCTGATCTTTAGATCTTTCCATAGATTTTCTATTCGATTCAAGTCAGGTGACTGGCATGGCCATTCTAGCAGCTTTATTGTCTCTATGAAACCAATTTAAAATTTTCTTGGCTGTGTGTTTGGGGTCAATGTCTTGCTGATAGTTCACCCACATTTGGTCATCATCATCCTGCTAGATGGCAGCAGATTTTTATCAAAAATGTCTCTGTACATGTTTTCATTCATCCTTCCTTGTATAATTTGAAGTTTGCCAGTATCATATGCTAAAAAACAGCCCCACACCATGATGTTCCCACCACCAAACTTCACTGTTGGTGTGTTTTTTTTGGGGTGATGTGCAGCATGTTTTGACCTCCAAACATGATGTGTATTATGGCATCCAAAATGTTCAATTTTGGTCTCATCTGACCAGGCTATATAGACATACCAGTATTTCACAGGCTTGTCTAAATGTTGTGTAGCTAACTCTAAATGAGCTTCAACATGCTTTTTCTTTAGCAATGGAGTCTTGTATGGTAAGCTTTAAGGGTAAGTATTGGCATGGGTGTTTTGCGATACGATACATGTCACAAAACTTGGGTCACAATACAATATTATCAAGATATTGCAATATCACTATATATTGTGACATTTTTCCCAGTTATCAAAATTAAATGTATAGATAAAAAAGCAAGTGCTATATATGTTCATCAGAAGATATTGATCATTTAGTTATTTTGAATCCATATTGTTTGGGGTTTGAGTCAGTCCATGTCTGAGACTGCTTCAATATGGTGCTGCTTGGCACAGCGAGAAGGGCTCCGCAGCTGTACCTGCCAGAGTGGCGGTGCAGAGGTAGCCAATTTTTCCTTATTGTTTTAGGTTAAAAAAAAATTGTTTTTTAAAAAAGTGATGTTAGGAACTGAAAGATCGATATTATAGCAGCCCGCCAACATACATCTCCAAATCGATTAGTTCCCACACCCCTAGTGAGCGGGCACACAGGCCATTGTGATTGAGTGCAGTACTTGTTGTTTTCTTTAAACAATTGTACCTGCTAATTCCAGGCCTTTCTGAAGCTCTCCACAAGTGGTTTTGGGCTCTTGGACAACTCTTCTGATAATCAGATTGCAAAAGGATCCTTCCAGAAGATGTTTTTACAGAATTGTATCAAGTGAAACTAAAACTTTTACACTTCATGAGTTCTAGGTAGAGCATATTAACTCAAATTTTTGTACAATAACTTCTCTAAGTCTGTTGCTCTGCATCTAAAGTCATATTTTTCTACACTCCAGTTAACAATCAATCGATTACTAATATTGCTTAGTAAATATTATTGTTTCTTCTATTTCGGATCAAAGTCTTTTCTTATCTCATTTCATCCTCAATGAAAGAAGAAAAAAAAAAAGGTGCAAACAATAAAACTGTTAATTAACTGGTTATTTATACACCATTAGCACTCAACGAGACAGTCGTTCCGTCAGTGGTTTACCAATCCTCTCCTTAAAGCCTTATTGATTGGTTGGTATCTGTGGCACGATGTGGATGATTTGGTAAAGAGAGACCAGGTGGCCGAGCAGCAGGCCTCTGACTGTTGACTAGAACAGGATGCTGAACCAACATGGTTTTCATGGCAACCAATCATTTAATTGGAAATCCTTTGGTACACTGCTCTCTGGGACACAGAATGAGGAAAGGTTGAGAAAGCACTTATGGACATATGTCATTCAATATGGTTCAAGTCAAACGCCAACACTCTGGTGTATATTTCAGTACAGGCATCAGCTGCTCAATGACTAATGTTTTATGGGTCTCATATGTTGCTCTGCAGTCTTTCAACAGATAAAGATGATGGTCAAAACATGTTCAGATGACTTTGTATGTTTATATTAATATTATGTAATTATAATGAAGAAAATTTTAAAAGTTATTTAAAAAATATTTTGCTCTAAAATTCATCACATTTCTATTCAGGTTAATTTTTTATGGATTTTTTTTCTTGTACTTAACATCAGTAATTTCGCTTTGTGAGCAGAAAATCATCTTTTTAACTAAATATTGATAAGCAGGAACTAGGGCTGGGAAATAAATTGATTTGATCTTATGATCAAATTCTTTGTTTATAAAGATTTAATTATTATTAAGATTTTTGGAAAAAAATCAAGATTTTTTTTTTCTACCAAACCTCATATTCGATAAACTAGTGCACGGTTTAAAACCACTTGCTGCAAAGATTAAGTACAGTAGGTTATTTTTCATTGCTTGTTGTGAAACATAATTGTGTTACAACATTTTTCACAGCTTGAATTTGGTTACCCTTTAAATTAAGGTGACCTCCCAGAGGGGATGATTGAAATAAAAGTTAATTTGGAAAGAAATATGTTTGTGTTTTTTATTATGAAACATAAAACAAAATCAATAAATCGAATTTGGTGGGGGAAAAAATTCGAAACTAGCCCTTTTAGGAACCCATTTTTTGTGTTATTAGAGGTTGAGATTGATCAGCTTGTTGATGTCCGTTTCTCCACCTGCTTTTTAAAAACTGGCCACATGGCTGGAAGCAATCAGGGAAATTTTCCTGAACACAGGTCCAACATTTTATTGCTCTGCAATCTGAGAAGCTTCTTTTTCTGATGTCATCGTTAATGTAATCCAAAGCCTTTGTAGATACATATTCACAGTTCTATGCCTCATTAATAATCTGATGTACAATCTGATGTTTTGGACCAAAATGCAGACCGACACTAGCAAGCAGCATGGCTTTTAATGAGATTTCTTCATGCTAATAAAACAGTAACGGAAGAGGAGACACGGAAAAGAGCTGATAAACACCAGCTAAATGACTGGAACCTTAACTAGAGGAGAAAACAGGTGCAAATGGAAGAACAAATGAGGAAACACAGGTGCAGACAATTAAATAATTACAAAAGACTGTCTAAAGGAGGGCAATTATCTGAGATAAACACTGGAAGAAACAAAATGAGGGGAAGAATCCAACAAGCCAATATAATGAGTAAAGGCAAAAACAACTTAAAACACTAAGAAAAATGGATATAAACTAGAAAATAACTGGAACAAGGTAAAACCGCTAACAGGAAAATAACAGAATATAGAAAGACCAAAAAAGTAATAGCTGGCTTACGGTAAATCAAAGATGTGGAATCCTTATAGTAAATTTTATAAAGGTAACAAAGAAAAACTTCAAATTGGGAAAATAACATGTAAACAAAAACAAATACTTAGAGCGTAAAAGTGAACTAAGAAAAGACTTACATTAAAAAAAACATCTAGGCAAGAGCCAAATTATGACATGTGCTTTATTCTCTGTAGCTTTAGAGTGCTTTCAAATGACGCACTGCCTGTCATCAATAAAACGCTTACTTAAGAAACACTTACGCTGCGGTCTGTTTGTTTCTGGCTTTTCAACAGCAACAAGTATTTTATTCCTTACAGAGTTTCCCCTGGGCAGCTTTAATATACTGCTCCAAATACAAGAAAATAGGCTGTAGTTGTTGAAAACCTGACATACCAAAACATGCCGAATGTCCCAACGAGGATGTTATTGGCAAAGTCCTGTGCAGCAGACCAACGATATGTATTTAGACCTTGGCTGCTTTCAAGAACAATGATCAGGGATAGGAGGCTGTGATTGGAGACAATCCAGTCACCAATAGTTCTGATCTTGGAGCAGCTTTGTTCAATAATACTGGAAAATCAACAGACCATCACTAGATTGATATTGATCATTGGAAGGCATTTGTCTTGGGTGATATTGTTCCTCCTGCTTCTTATTTGATTTAGTATTCTTGATCAGAATTTAGAAGGGTTGTATGAGGCGCTTCATGATGGTCTGAGATAGGACCGATAGTGATTTTTCCTCAAGGATTCATTAGAGAAAATTACAGGTTTTAATTGGTCTCGTCTTGCAGAATTCCACTCTGTCAGGGATACCGTGTGTGTGTGTGTGTGTGTGCAGCT